GAAACAAGGGGAAGGCCCCCCAACCCGGGGTTCCCCCCCCTTTTTTGGGGGATTATATTTTTTGGGCCGGGGGGAACCCCGGCGTACCCCTCCCCGCCTTTTAGGGGTGGGGGGGTAATTGTTTAAAGGATTCGGGCCTCCCGGCTTTGGGGTCCCCCCCCCCCCCCCCCCCTCCTCCAACTAACCTCGACGGCGGGTCGAACCTCTCCGCGAGCTCCTCGAACACCCCGAGAGCATTCTCCACCCCCCTCCACCTCCGCTCCGCCCTCTCCCTATCCGCCGCGGGGCCCCCTCCCCCCCCATCAGCAACAACTCCTTCCAGCGCGAAGCCCCGGATGAGCGCGCGGAGTGCGGCCTCGTTGGGGCTCAGCCCCCGGCCTTCCATCTCGGAGAGCAGGCCCAGGGCCTCGTCGTTGCGGCCGCCGGAGACGCAGCACTCCATGGCCAGCTGGTAGCACGCCGCGTCCGGCACGGCCGGCATGGTCACGTGGGAGGGCCCCAAGCTCAGGGCTTCCTGGAGCTCTGTCGACCACGTGCCTGGTACAGCGGGTGACACAAGAATCAAGGGGCGTGCATGTGCATGTGTGCATGTGTGTGTGTGTGGTGGTTTGGTGGTTTGGTGGTTGTTGAACGCACTCCATGGCATTTCACAACAGCACGTCGGGAAAAAAAAGTGGTGGCCAGGGATGACATGTTTTCCCCGGGAAAGTCGGATCTTTCGGGTTTGGTATTGAGGCCGGGGCGCATCATGTTATTTTCGAAAGGATGTCAACGCGGGAATTGGAAAGGCCACAACAGCAGCACGCGAGAAAAATGTTGTCCGCCCTCGCGTGGTCTTGTTCGTACTGCTGTAGGACGATAATTATCTGGGTAACTCCCAGAAGGCAGCATCCAGCAGTAGAAGCAGACAAGCCAGGTTTTTCGTCCAGAGACGTAAAACGCGCGCACTTCAGTCTTGGTGTAGATATACCACGGGGTCTCGACTTCGATTTCTCCGTGCTGACCATTTGCCCCAAAAACGATTGAACAAAAAAAAAATGCAGTTCGAAGGACTACCACGTCCCCGGCCGCCGCCGCCGCCGCCACCGCTACCGGCAGCTTTACTCGACGCGCCAGCGACCAACCACACCACACCACGCCAACCTCCCCCTCCCCCCTTCCCTCAAACGCCCCTACGCCCCCCCCCCCCTATAACCCATACCAGGTACAGCGACGTCCCCCTTGGCCGCCCTCGCCGCCTCGTCCTCCCACATCATCCGCAGCACCTCCTTCGCAGCCCGCCAGTCCCCGCGCACCCCGTCGCCGCTCCCGCCGCCTTCGCCACCGTCGTCCCCGGCGGCGGCGGCCGAGCACGCGGTCAGCGCCGCTAGGTAGGATCGGTATGACGGTCGGGGACACACTGCCGTCGTCGCCGCTGATCCTTTCTTCTTCTTTCTTGAAGCTGAGCGAGCGGCGGCGGCGGCCCCTCGCATCATCTGGAGGATGTCCAGAGCGCCGGCCGCGTCCCCGCGCTGGGCGCAGGCCTCAATCACGCCTGCCATCCATCGAAACCCAAAATCAGGAAGAGCATAGGTGGGTGGAGAGGTAGGCGGGCATGCGTGTGGGTGGTGAACGGAGGTAAAACACGAAGTAGCTCGTTCGCTTCTCCACCCCTCGCATTCCCCAGCTGTCGAGATGGCTGGTGATGTCCTTACCGCTCCCTAAAACAACCACAGGCTTCACAAGAAAAAATAAACAACGTGCAACAAAACGACAGCAGTAATATAAATCAATCCACGGGCAGGGCCTTTATGGGAAAACATGAAAAAAATCTCACCCAACATGGTGCTCTCGTCTGCGGTGACCCCCCTCTCCGACATCTCCTTCAGCCCTTGCAAGACGTCGCCGCCTACGGCCTGGCGGAGGCACAGCATACGAGCGTGTGTATAAGCAAAGGTTGAGAGCGAGTAGGTACGTGCGCGACAACCGAGCAACAGCGGCAGCAGCAGCAGTGGCAGCAGTAGTGGCAGCAGCAGCAGCAGCAGCAGCAGCAGCAGGAGCTAAAACGTAGGGCAAGCGCCAACTGAAGCACCACCACGCCAGACCAAGCCACGCCAGTACGTATGCGGCGAACGGGGGAGGGGTGGTGGCGTGTTGTTGGTGTAAGGCCAAGCTCGGCATCTTTCTAAGTTTTGTATAGGGGAGATAGACCTAAAATAGATTCGTGTCGAAATAAGGCAGCAGGTAGCATACACGACTGCAAAAAAAAAAAAAACGAAGGCGGGGAGATCGATACATCGATCGAGCGATCGATCGAGCGAGCATTCACCTGGACGAGGGCGAAGCTTCTGTGTTTCTAGCGCTTGTTCCTACCCCCGTCTCTCTCTACCCCTAATCGTGATGAATGAACTCCACATACATCAACGATCGTTAAAAAAGCTAAAACCAATACCAAAAAAAAGAAGCCTGGGGAATGGGTCAAGCAAGCGTTCACCTGTACGAGCACGAGGCGAGCGTCGAGAAGGTCCTTGCTGGCGAACGAGGAGTCCCCCCCCGTTGCCACCGCCTCCGCCTCCTCGACTATGGCCCACGCCTCCTCCACGCGGCTCCCTGACCACACGCACGCCTTCATACATGCATGCAACAGACATCGACACACACACACACGTACGAGTTATTGATTGTCGGTTGGCAGCACGTGCATTTAGTACGCATGGGCAGGTGCATAGATACACATGTGCGTGCAGCACGCGTACGAGTGGTTGTTGGCAGCACGTGTCCGTTTGTTCTTCCTCGCCAGGGTTAGGGTTAGCGTTAGCGTTAGCGTTTTGGGTCCAATCCAAGAGGGAACCATCGATTGGTAACGCGTGCGACAAAGGTCGGTGTTTTCCGAGGCGTGCGCGAAAGAAGTGGCCAGGGTTATAGCGTTAGCGCTAGCGTTTGGGTTCAGTCCGAGAGATGGGCAACGCGTGCAACGGTGTGTGTGTTCCGAGGCGTGTGCCAAAGAAGTGACCAAACAGGGGGGGGGTACGCTAGGAGAGGATACCTCGATGCTGTCTCGGTAATTGTACGAAGGGGTGCTTGAAGGAGGCAGACAAGGCAGACAGGCAGACAGGCAGACAGACAGACAGACAGACAGGCGGGAGCCGCTGCGTGAACGGAAAGCAAGCGATACATCATCCGAAAAGATGGAAAAATAGTGCCACGCAGAACCAGATGCTCGTACGCACACAAAATGGCATGCGACCACGTAATTCAGAGCGCAGCTTCCACCTGAATGGCGAGAGTGTAGGAAGACTGATCAGGCTTGACGTTCTCGCTCTCGCGTAGGCTCTGCAGCATCGACAACGCCCCCTTTGCATCTCTGGACAAAACAAAAGCGTTTCCCAAGCGCCAGGGAGTTCAAGCGGGGCGGGGGCGGGGGAATCGAGGCAACGGTGGGGGGGGGGCGTACTGTTATGTTTGGCGTGCCTTAAATAGTTGGTAGGCCGTTGACCACGCGTCCTGGAGAGGACGGAGTAGTGTTCCCACAGGACCGATCACCGATGGCCAAGCGTTCCTTCTTACGGCGGCTCAAAAATTTTTCCCCTATCCTATCGGCATCACTCCCGGCCTTTTCAGTCCACTTCTTATAATGGGGGGGGGGGGGACGCAGCCGTAGGATGACGCCACGGACGCCAAGGAAAAGTTGTTCCAAAGTTGCCACATGACCGCTCAGTTTTACACCTCCTTGCCACCAACTCCAAAAACATTGATAAGCAAACAACACATTCGGCACACCCGCCGGCAAACCACACACTTCTCACACGAGGGCAAACATGCAGGCGGCTCCCTAGCGCCGAAATTCTACAAGAGGGTGTAAAACAACCCAACCACGGTGCCCCTCCCCCCTCCCGTACAGCCTGGTAACCCAACCACCATTCTTGCTGCTTCACAGCTTGCAGCCTCGCATACGCACCTCTCCTGACGGAAGTACCACAGGAAAGTGTTGTACGTACTTGTTGTCGCCCACAGCCCCTCATTGCTCATCGTGTCCAACACTCTGCAAGCACGCGCGAGGGTAACAGCAATAGGAGGGACGAGGGTCATCATGTGTCAAGGACAACAACAACAACAGCAGCATCTGACAACGAAGACGACGACAACAACAACAGCAACAGCAACAGCAACAACATAACTCGTTCCCCATACCCAAAAATTCCACACACAAGAGAATCTTTCTCGTGACTCCTTGCCCGTACACCGGAAGGAAAATTAACACCGATGACAACATCAACTACAACAGTTGGCGGCTTGAGTATTTAGCCCACAGGCCAACCCCACTCACATTTCCGCCCCGGCCGTGTAGTTGCACGCTAGCGACTCCTGCAGCAGGGTCGAGGCCGCCCAGAAGCGGCCCATCTCCCCCGCCCTAGACGCGGGCGCCGCCTTTCTCTCCACCTTCTCCTTCTTCTGCCCACCAGTAGCCGTCTCCGCGTCGCCACTGCCTCCGCGCTGTAGTTTTTCCTTCCCGGAAGCGGTGGTGGTGGTGGTGGTGGATGTTGTCTTGGCACCGCCATGCTTGGCACCGCCCTGGGCACTCCCCCCCGCCGCACCGCCTTTCGCTGCAGCGGGAGACGGCTGCCCCCTCCCCCCCTTCGTCTTGTTCTTGCCCACATCTGCGGAGCCCCTTTCCTTCCCCCGAGCGTTCTTCGTGGTGGTGGTCGTGATCACCGACGAGGGGTCGCCGGAGGAGGAGGAGGAGGAGGAGGAGGAGGAGGAGGAGGAGGAGGAGGCAAGGGTAGGGGGTCCCGCAGAATGCTTGGGTGCCGCGGCAGCAGCAGCCGTCTTCTGGTCGGCCACGTGGGGACTCTTCTTGTTTTTCTTGTTCCTGGTGGTGGCAGCCGTCCTAGCTTTCGTTTTGGTGGTGGAGGCCGATGCGGGTGTGGTCGTTGGGTTCTTGATCTTGAGCTGGTCCGCGGTCAGCTGGCCCGCTTGCAGGGCCAGCTCGAGGTCGGTCTCGTCGAAGCTCGTGAGCGTTCTGGCGTGTACGGGTCGCGAGAGGCGCGAGAAAAAAAACGAGTACAGAAGACACGAGACGTTTCGCTAAGACCTGGTAATTACTACTACGTGCTTCGACATCACTGTCAAACACGTCCACTATACTGTAAAACACTTCGCAGAATGCAGCGCACCCTCCATGCGACTCGCCGAATACCTCAAGGCGTTACGGGCTTAGTGATGTGAGAGCCCGGTCCGGTGAGAACCCGACGTGCTCCGTCCTCGCTTTGTAGGGATGCGAGGTCAATGGTCTAACGACTGCGGCATGCACGAATCATGAGTACACTTCGCCCCCCCCGGCGGCCTACCGATAGGTAGGCCGTAGCACGCACAGCGACGAGCCTGTTGCCGACTCTTGACACAGCCATCAGGGAGAACGCAAAAATCCTGCCATTCGGAGACTTTTCAGTACTGGCCAGTAGACACGATAAACGCCTCTCCGATTTTTCCGTTGGAAAAAAAACATCCGGTTTTCTGTCCGGCGATCGTTGAGTTTGCACATATACAGGAACGGGAAAAAGTTCATTTTCCGGGATGATGGAACGCCCATACCGTTTTCTGGTATGGAATAACCGTACCGGACCGTTCACCTGTCTGCGAGGTCGGAGAGCGAAGCGGGGGGTGCCGCCCCCCTAGATCTAGCGAGAGTGCTCCGGAACTTGGCCCTTACCAGCGAGGCCTGTGCGCGGCTTGATACCCTGACGGGGGCAAAGCGCCGCGGTGAGGTGGGTTGGCGGCTGTTCGCAGGTCCAGGTGTAAAAACAGGTGGCGGTGGGTCCGTCAGACGAAGAAAGGCACATCTTTCCGACTGAGTGACTACCGCCTACGTTAAGTCGGTCGTCTTGATGCAAGTTCAAGAGTGTGCCAGTCGAAAAACTTGTTACTGCATGACCGCGATCTTCTGGCAAAAGCAGATCCTTCTCAACAGGGACGAAAGATACGAAGAAGGTTAAAAGGTGTCCCACGACAAACACAAACCGCAAGCGACACGGAGGGGGCAAGGGAAGCACGCGTACCACAGTGTAACTGCCGCCGAAAGCAGCGGCACGCCAAAATACGAATCAGGCGTACATGTATCTACTCGTTGATCCGAATGCACGCACGCATGCCTGTGCACACACACATGCAGCAAATCCTCCCTCCTCCTTGCCCTTCTCCGCTTCCCTTGTTTCGTTCTCTACCACACACACGTACGTGTCACTTTCTACTCCGCCGACCCCCCTCACCCCAATAGCTTACGCATGATTCTACTAAGGAAACATATTGGATACACCATGGAATCGTGGAACTTCGGGGGATAGGGTTTGAGTGAAGGGTCCCCTTGCCTCTCTCAATGTGATGAGGGAAGGGTCTACGTAACCCCGCCTCTCCATTTCACAGATAAAAAATAGATTTCTTCACATTACTGCTGTAGGCAAGTCCTTTCTTTTTTTACCTGCCGGCCTCCTTCCCGGCCGCCATCTCGGAGAACAGCTCCTGCGCCATCCGCGCGGCGATCCTGGCGTCGAACGCAGGCACCAGCGCTCCCTCCCCGTCCACCTCGGCCCTCCCATGTCCCGGCGGCTCTAGCCCCTACCGGCACCCAACCACCGCCACCGTTGCCGCCACCGAACCCCCCTGCCTCCGGCACCAGACGCGGCGGCGCCTCCAGATCGTTGCCGTCGCCGTCGCCGCCGCCGCCGCTCCAGGCGCGGCGGGCGGTAGAGCGAAGGGTCTCGAACCAGGCCGGGTCCGGCTGAGCGACGATGGCGGTAGCGCTAGCGGCAGCGGTGGCCGAAGAAGAGGATTCCGGAGACGCGGCGAGGGGCTGCTGCTGCTGCTGCTTCTGCTGCTGTTTTTTCTTGGAGAGCGGGGCGAGGGTGAGGCCTCGTCCCGCCGCGGCGGTCTCGAACACGACGTCGCCCAGAGCCCTCCCGGTAGCGACGGCCAGGGCCTCGAGGAGGCGAAGCCGAGCCTCTCGGGTCAGGCCTCGGTTCTGTTTTTCGTCGTCAATCGCCGGGGAGGTTGCACGGTTTAGGACTGCTTGGCCGGGGGTTGGGTTATAATCGATCTGCACATCTCCTCGGTCATTCCCCCCCCCTTGTAGGGATGCGAGGTCAATGGTCAAACGACTACGACATGCACGACTATGAGTATACCCCCCTCTCTCTGCGCTTTGTTCACTCCATCAGTTACACCCCCCCCCCGGCGTTGTAGGGATGCGAGGTCAATGCTCTAACGACTACGGCAGACACAGCTATGAGTACCCCCCCCTCCGTCCTCTCGAGGACGCGTGGTCAACGGTCTACTGGCCGAGATATGAAAAACTCGCCCCCCCCCCCCCCCTCCCTTTATCAAATG